TACCCAGAAAGGGAATAGCTGGGTTGAATGGGACCTCTAATCCTAGTTCTTTGAGGAATCTCCACCCTGATTTCAGGGTTGCACCAGTCTTCACCCCACCCACAGTGGAGAATGGTTCCTTTTTCCCCACAACCCCTCCAGCATTTGTTATTGCTTGATTTCTTGATAATAGCCATTCTTTCTGGGGTGAGGTGGAATCTCTGTGTTTAACATATTTTTACCTGACTTTTGGAGAGATTTTCAAGGATAGTTAATTGAAGAAATACTCCATGTCTGTGAGTTGGAAGACTCAGCATCACAAAAGCTTCCACTCTTACAAGTCTGGATGGATAAACAGAGGGCCATGAACAGCCCACACAGGAGGGGAGCAAGCTGAAGGAATTCAAATCAGCTATTTGGGTGTCAGAAATAAGGAATTCAGGTGTTGGTGCTGGTGCAGGAGGGCCTGGGGGAGAAGGGATCTGGAGCAGTGGGGGACATGGATCTTTTAAAAAGATGCCTGAGGAGCTGGGGATATGGCTCAGTGGTGCAGATGCTGCCTGGCAAATGCAAGGTCCTGAGTTTGATTCCTGGTACCATTAAAAATATAGGTATGTATATAAATACATAAAATGATGCCTGAGTTTCCTCTGGAAAACAAAATAATGGCCAACTCTAGTGGTACATTCCTGTAATCCCAGCTCTTTGAGTGACGAGGCAGGAGGACCACAAGTTGAAGGGATGTAGGCAATTAGGCAATTTAGCAAGACTGTATCTCAAAGTGAAACTGGGGATGTGGCTCAGTGTGGAGCACTTAACTGCATGTGGAAAACCCTGGGTTCAGCCCCCAGCACAACACACACACAGGAGTTTTGCAAAGCTTTTTTGCTTAGGGAGGAAACTAGAGGTAAGTGAAATTCAGTGCCTAGTGGTGAAGATTGCCAGATTTACTCCCAGATTGTGAGTAACGGAATCCCACTTTGTTCCCAATCCTTCTGTACGAAAACTCACATGGGAAAGACAGGTGGCTCCTAGCTGGTGCCTGGCTGTCACCCTCTGGAGTCCTTGTGTACCCCTGTGTCCCAAGAGATCACTGTGGTCTTTGGGCTCACAACTTGCACAGATGCCATGGGACCATAGGAGCACTGTGCATGGGAGGAGGTAACAGAGTTGCTCAGAGGCAGGGCCCAGCCTTGTCTTGCACTGTGCTCTCTGTGTCTAAAATCAGGCCATGTTTGCTGCTCTGCGTGTGGTGTGGAAGTCAGGAAGCAGTGTCATCTCATAGCTTGTTCGTCAGGTATCTTTGGAGTTGTCACCCTCTGGGCTGGTGTTCGTCTACCTGAAAGAGGCCACCCTGGGGGTCCAGAAGTCCCAGCTCTGCTATCTTCCTGCAACTGCATGCTGGAAGCTGGTAGTTTATCATATTTTGAATCATTTCTTTTAACTAAGACTCGCCATGTAGAAGGGAGCTCGGCTTTTCTTTTTAAATCATTTTCCGATCTACAAACAATCCACAAGAAGCTTCCTGGCACATGGCGATAACAGAAATTCAGCCTTTTCACATCGTATTCTATGACTCAGTTAAAATGTATGTCAGATTGTCAGTCCCTTCTGTAACTGAGGCATACATTGCTAGCCATGTCTGTGACCTTAACTCTGATACTAGTGGTCACTTAGGACCATTTCTGAAGGCCTGTTGGGACTCTTTACTGTCAGACAGAAGAAGTTTCTAGACCCCCTGGTGGTAGCTGACTACAGTAGAGGTCTCAGCACACACCTCCACTGTGTGCCAATTGGTATGTGATACATTAGTACATCTTAACTTCCTACTCATTGGAGAAAATGAGGTATATTAGTAGACAGTTGCTGTTTATTCCTGTAGCCCACTGGGTGATCTTGAGCTGCCTTCAGAGTTCACCCTGCTGAGCTGGGCCCGCCCATCCTGTCCACTGGGAGCAGGGGCATTTATAGAGCTGCTGTTGGGCATGGCTGTCTGCCCTCAGAAGTAACAGGCTTTCCTTTGGGAAATATGCTTTTGAAAGAGCAGTACATTCTGACCCCCTCTTTTCCTGTCGGTGTCTGAGCCTTGGGTTCACATCTTTTTCTTTGCTCCTCTCCCCGCTGTAGTTTGTGCACACGTATGGCTGTTCATTTTGCTCCTGGGTGTCCTCGAGGCCTTACCTTGGAATAGCTAGGAACTGGCTCGAGTTCACAGTAAATCAGGGGACACTGAGGGCAACTGGAATTGTCTATGCAAATATGAATTATCTGTGATAACATTTATACTGTTGAGAAATTAGAATCCATGCCACCTCCACCCCTTGTTATTTCCCTGTTAGCACAGTGGAAATAAGATTTCTAAAACTGTATTGCTCAGTATCAAGCGTGGTGGTGCATGCCTGTGATCCCAGCACACGAGACTGAGGCAGGAGGGTCCCTGCGTGTTCAAGGCCAGCCTGTACTGCATAGCAAAACCCTATCAAGAAGACAAAACTAAAACTAAGCAAAAATACACTGATCAAGAAGAATCTAGATCAATTTGCATTTTGTAAATACAGAAATATTTGATGAAGTCTGAAGATGGGAGTTTATTCACTTTTGTACTCAATTTTTGTTGTTTTTTTTTAGAAACAGTAAAATATTTTAAATAGCAATGTGAGATTTCTTAAAATAACAATAGAGTTCATGAGATTAGAATAACAAACCCATCTGGACACTATAAACCAAAATGACCTTAGCTGCCTAAACCCTTGGAGGAATTAACATAGTTTCTATGGAGTTGGGATTCACTTGCCTTTTAGAAATACTTTGAATAAAAAAATTTTTTATTCCTTCTTCTTAGCCACCATAGATTTGTTTTGACAACAACTTAGTCTTTCTTCTTACTAGTCACTGTGCTGTGTTTAAAAGGTGGAAAATGCTGTAAAAGGCCCTTGGAGGTCTGGGAGCCTGCCCAGCCCCACTGAGTGGGTCCAGCCTGTGGTCTTCCAATCTAGGGTGCCGAGTGATGAAAATGCCAGAGACAGGTTCCGGGTACAAGCTGAGGCTACAGGCCAGAGTCCTGTAGGACGCTCGCGGCAGCTGGAGTAGGAAGAAAGTTGCGTGGTAGAGGGTCAGGGCCGCAAGGAGGTAATTTAGAAGGTGAATGCATTTCGTGAAGAGGGCGGCTGTCTGGATGGGTGTTGGAGCGAGGGGCACTGGGTTTCCATGGGCTCTTCAGTGTCCTGCAGGCCATGTGTCCCACCCCGTGTGCTGCTTATCTCTGCATCCAGGGTAGCCAGCAGGGAAACCACAGTCCCCCACACCACAGGTCAGCCCAGGGAGCGGTGTCTGTGCCTGCTGTTTGCAGGGTTAATTAAGGAGTTCAGAGCCCGGTCTCACCACACGCCACTGCCCTCTCAGCTCGCCCGATGGGGAGCTCAGAAAACCAAGCAGGACCCCTAGCTGTTGAAGTGATGCCGTGTGGAAACGCCAAGCTCCGTGATGTGTTCTGTGCGTATGCTGACTCCCAGGGGAGGTGATCATGACATAGTACAAACGTATACTAATAGAAAATAAAAACTTAAAACATAAACCTGCTCTGTGCTAACAAAGTGTCGTATAAGGAGATAGCTGGTCCTCTTGTCTAGTTCTGCATTCAGCCTTTGGCCTCATGTCACTTTAGCAAGTGTAGAAAGAAGTGGTTGGAAAAGGGAGGAGTATTTTAAATGGCTCTTCCAGAGAATTGTGGATGTTTGCTTTGACATTGCATCAAAACTTAATAAATAATCAGTTTCTTAAAGGAATCTTCAGTGTGGAATCTGAAACCAGATCGACGATTTGTCTGTACATTTTATTCCATTAAAATGCAATACCCTACCTTACAGTGTGAATGGCTCTTTTGCCCTTGAATGATATTCTAACATCATTTATTGATCATTTGAAAGTACATTTTGCACATCTTTGACGTGTTACAGTGTGACATGTTACATGTATCGGGCTCATATGAGGTTGCCCATACTCTCCAGCCTCCTGGGCAGTCATACAGAATTTTGTTTGAATCAAGCTGTCTTGCTTGGCGGGCCCCACAGTGACCTGTGCTGTCTTACTGCTGGCTGGCCCAGGTAAGTGCTCCCTGAGCCACAGTTTCTGTTACCACCAGTGCTCTGTGTTGCTGCCATGGTGAACACGGTCACCACGTGTGACCTGTGCTGATTGCAGACCAGCGAGCACTGAGCTGTCACTTTCTGGAGGTCTTGGGTGTTGGTGATCTGCAGATGGAAGCCAGAGTGGACAACAACTTGTGCCTGTCTAGAGCCAGGTCTGCCCTCTGAGCTGGCCCACATCCCCCCGTCCTACACCCTCAGCCATCAATCACACTCTGTCAGGGTGGCCACAGCAGTGGTGGCAAGCCTGTGACATACCAGCCACCGCTGGCCGTTTTATATCATTGAAAGCTCTCAGAGATTCCCCACACCCTTACCCCAGACCCCAGCAGTATTGTTGGTTCACGGTGCTTACTGTTTGCCCCGGCACCGTGCCTAGCACGTGATCACTGGTGCTCGGGAAGTGTTTGTTGAATGAATGTGTTGAGAAGGAGTTTATTTTGAACAGTATTCTTGATGTGGTTTAATAGAGTGAAAAAACACTCTTTACTCTATCAACCCTGTAATGTGAGCAGTGACTGGGTATTTTTTTTTTCTTTCCATTTAAGGAATGTTTGACCTCATTCACCCCTACCATCCCTTTTTTCTTAAACACTTGTTAATTCGGAATAAAGACAGTGGTGGTGGCCCACACCTGTAATCCCCACACTGGGAGACAGGGAGGAGGGTGATGAGGTCAAGGCCAACCTAGGCAACGTAGGAAGACCCTGTCTCAGAAGTTTAAAAAGTTAACAAAGGCTGAGGATGTGGCTCAGGGCTCTGTGGGTTTAGTCCAGGTACTGCACAATAAATACCCAGAAACACACACCTAAGTGCTCCGTGATGCCTTTGGTTAAGCATTTTGGCAATCATCGCGCTTTGCTTTCTGCCTTCCAGATGTTCCTCCTGCGGATCAAGAGAAGCTTTTTACCCAGAAGTTACGTCAGTGTTGTGTCCTCTTCGACTTTGTTTCTGACCCACTGAGTGACCTCAAGTGGAAGGAAGTGAAGCGAGCTGCTCTCAGTGAGATGGTGGAGTACATCACCCACAACCGCAATGTGATCACGGAGCCCATCTACCCCGAAGTAGTCCACATGGTAAGTGTGTGCAGCTTCACGGGACACCCCGCCCTGGGCCGCGGTGGGACGGGCCAAGAGCCCTGAGGCCGGCACTGCGCCACCAGGAAACCTTTCCCGGGAACAGGCGGACCCCAGTGGTAAGAAGTGTTTTCCCAACGCATCCTGGGTTGCAGTTCTAACGATGCAGGGACCCCGTTGCCTCCTAGGGGACAGATAATAAGAACTTCATGCAAAAAAGCACCTTACAGGATATTTGTTAGAATTTTTATTTGTAATATTTATTATTTTATTCTCATTAAATTCTGAGTTTTTGGTAAACATGTGTATCAGTATACCAGCCCTTATGCAGATAGAAGTCAGTGCGTGATTCACATGCAAGGAAATTCTGGTGATGGGGCATAGTTGAAACACTGATGGGACGGAGCAGCCTTGAGAACAAGTCGTGCCGATCAGCTGAGAAGGCGTCCATCTGCCGGTGCGGGCTCAGGGTGCTGCCTCCCAGTTGGCCAAGAAAGTCTTACGATGCATTTTCCCTGGCCCAGGTCTCAGTCCTCGGAGCCTCTGCAGCAGCACAGTCCCAGGCCCTTGTGTCTTAGTTCATCCCATCGTGTTCCTGGGGCTGTACCCCTGGAGCAGTTCACGTCTGCTCTCCACAGTCTCAGGACACTAAACTGCCGTGTCCTGTCCTGTCGGGGGCTGCTATCTGCCTTTGAAATTAGTTCCTCCGATTGTTAGGGAGTTATCACTGCCAGTACATTGTTACAGATCTTTATTCTGATTTACTGAACTCTTGTAAGTTACTGATTTCTTTCCCAAAGTTGTGTATTTCAGAACTGACTAGATATGTTGACAGAAACTTACTTTAGCTCGTTTGCTGTGGGAAAAAGGATGACAACAATTTCTTTTTTGCATTCAGCCTTTGGTTTGAGAAGTTGTGATGAACTTGATTGTTTTGAGCTCTGATAGTCCTCACACCACCATAGCTCCATGTAGCCAGCATGAGGGCCTTGTGGGACTCTGGTCTCACTCTGAAGACCTGGCCAGAGCTCTGAGCAGATCCCTAAAACCTTTTCATGTACATTAAGGAAGGGGGAGGCTCTTTTTTCTTAATTTCAGCTCTCTAAGGGCACCCCTGTCTTGGTTACTTTTCTCTCATTACTGGGACTTCTCCCTTATAGTGTAAGCAGGGAACCCCACCTCCACCCCCACCCCAGGGCAGGTAGCACTCACACCACCTCTGGGTGCTCCTCTTGGACAAGCCCAGGATATTTACAAAGTAAGGATCCTGGCTCCCTGCTGAGTATCTTAGTTACATTTCTAAACTTCTCAAGTTAACACAATGTATCAACCGTAACAACCTCTTACCCCAGATTTATAAAGGAAAGTCTCAGTATTTCTTTCTAGTGACACCCGTAACTGTGTTCTTAATCCTTTTGGGACTTTCTTATGGTATAAGTTAGGAGCATAACTTTATTTTCTTTTAAATTATTGAAAAATCACTTCCTTCTCCTTAGTACATTGAATATTCCATTTCCCCTATTGATTTAAAAATGCTTCTCTATTATGTATTTCCTTTTTAATTTCTTGATACATGATAAATTTATAAATATGTGAATTACAAGAATAGAAAATCTCTCCATTTTCTGTTTTTTGTTTTGTTTTGAGACAAGGTCTCACTATGTAGTCCAGACTGGCCTTGAACTCACAGCAGTCCTGCCTCAGCCTCCCAAGTGCTAGAATTACAAGCATCCACCGCCACACCTGGCAGGATCCCTCTGTTGTTAAGGAGTCTTAGCAGCCAGCAGTCTAATTCACACTGCTGACCCACAGAGGGAAGCATGTGGGAAGAAGGAGACACCCCGTGGCCTGGGCTGGGTCCAGTCGGAGCCCCTGATCAAGCACACTCCTGGCTGCCAGATCCGTCCCCGGGGTGTTCTGCACCACCCCAGGGTGCACCACCAGGACCATTCAGAGACTGCATGCTCTCGGGGTGTTTTCTTCCCCAGCCCTCTCCCCCCTATTAGAACTGTCCCCTTGTTGACCTGACCCTCCTGCCCTCAGCTGTGTTCCCCTCCCCTGCAGTGGTGCCCACGCAGCTCTCATGGACCAGACACTGACAAGCATCCGCTTGTCATCTGCTTTGCTTTATTAATGTCCACTTGCTTTGAAGAATCCAAAGCTCTAGATATGTTGTCACCTAACTGCCACTTGTAAATGTACTCCAAGACTGGACAGCTGTGTGTTTTTAACTAATTTACTGAGACATTGTTCCCACGGCTTCAGCCCCACCCACTTACAATGTGTGGTTCAGTGGGTTTCGGTGTGAATGTAAGTGTACAGCAGCATCGCCTCCAGGTTTAGAACATTTTTACCCCGGGGAGGTGGTGCCCTACCAGGCGCTGCTGCCTGAGTGGCCGCTGGTCCACTTCCTGTCTCCACAGATCGCCTGCTCAGGATACTCGGGATCCATGGAGTTTCTGTTTTTGCCAAGTGACTCTGTTACCGGGGTAGTGGCCATTCTTACTGATCATCCACCTTTACTCACTTGTTGGTGGACCCTTGGGTTACTCCGGACTTGGGCTGTGGGGAACGTGGTGCTGTGAGTGCTCCCGTGTTGGGCTGTGGGGATGGTGCTGCTGTGAATGCTCACATGCAGGCTCTTGTGTTAACATGTTGTCATTTCCCATGAGCATCACGGTTAACTCCGTGTGTGTGACCATTCAAAACACACCCAGGTCTTTTTTAAGCGCTGCACACACCATTTTCTGTTTCTATCAGCGGAATCGAGAGGTTCCAGCTCTAACCTCTTTCTGGTTTGAGCTGTCCTTGTAGGTGTGAAGTGCTCTCTTTGTGGTTTTGATTTGCATTTTCCTGACAACCAGTGATGGGACAGCTTTTCCCTTGTGCTGTGTGTTTTTGTGGGCCATAGACGTTGGCCCTGCTCTGGGTCACCTCGTGTGCCTCCTTTCCTTTCCAGATCAAGAGCTTAGCTTCAGGGAGGCACAGCTGAGAAAGCACAGAAGCTGAGGAGATGGGGGCCTCTCGGCCTCGAGGTTCTGGGCCAGGAATTACGTCAGCACCAGTGTCTCCTCATCTCAGTCAGATTTTAAATATAACCACCATCTGCTTTTTACAATTGAATTATCTAGTTAATCTGTTTCTAAGGGACAGACTATTTTTCTAGTAGTCAAAACACTGATCTCAAAGCCAAGTAACAGTGTACTTAAGAGATTCAAGGTAATGAAAGCAAAGCTGCGCCCACTCGTCTGTACAGTTCACAGCTGACTGTGGTAGGTCCCTGATGGAGCACCAGCAGCTCTGCGTGCGATCGCCCAGGAAACACCGTCACACACTTGGGGGCTCCAGCAGCAGGGCCCGGGTGCTGCAGTGCAGCCTCAGCCCCGCCAGCCCGCCGCCACCTCCTGGGCGAGTCCAAGGCCGGGGTGCTCACTGGGGGACAGCGAGCTAAAAGGAGAGTGGCGAAGGCCGGGTTTGGTGGGCTTAACGGGGCCAAGGACAGGGCTGTGATCTAAAGTGTGACTTTGTGTTTATAGCATAAAAATACGTTTACAAAAGTAAAATCAAATATGGAGAGAAATAAGCAAGTCAGGAAGTCCTGTACCTAGCACAGTTACACAGCCACAGCTCTGCAGCATGATTTACCAGGAACTGACTTACTGACTCCGTTTCATAAATACATCATGAAAGTGAGTCCAGGGCTGGAGCAGCTCATGGTAGAGTGTTTGCCTAGCATATGTGAGCCCTGTGCTGGGTCCCGGCACCCCCAGCAGCAGTGGTAATAAACAGCAACTCTGAAGGGAGAGGACACAAACCGTGAGGAGTAGCTGCCTTAGGTAGTACAGTCGTGTACAGTTGCCATTGAACTGTATATATTTATGTGGTTTTAACATTTTTAATTACTATCACGTACGTTTTTCTTTCTCAAAAAAGCAAGAACCCGCTTGAAGCAGGTTGTCTATGTGCCGATGATGCTGTGTGTCTCTTGTTGGGCAGGGAATATGGGTTTGTCCATGTGGGGTCCTGGCTCTGTAGATGGCTGGCCATGGACTTCCATCGTACATGGGCATCGGCATCTCCCGAGGGTGTGCTGGTGGTCCCCAGTGACTGTCTTGTCCTAACTTAAGAATTGGTGTTGGGCATCTTCCTCCTCTGTCAGTCCAATATTACTTGTTATAACAGTTATGATAGTTTGGAAATGAGACAGTAAAAAACATTTGGAATTAAAAAGGATAGTATAGTACTAATAAGGCTTCACATAGTTTATAGATTTATTTTAAGTGTTCTAAATTATGTGTTCACCTTTTGGCTTAGTTGTTTTTGTTTGGCCAAAGTTGTAAATAACTTGGGTTAAGGAAAAGAGTATCAATGACAAACTAAAAGCAGATCAAACAATAAAATAATTTTTGAAATCCAGAGAATATTTTTCTACTCTAAATATCAGTGATTTCTAAGATTTGTTCTTAGGACTTCTTGAGATTTCTTTTTGACATTTTTTAAATTATAAATACATGCTCATTTTGTAACAAATGACATAAATATAAAAACACAGAAAGAACAAGTTAATCTTTTTCCTTTCTTCATTCTTCCCCAATTCAACCCATCTCCACTTCCCATCAGTCAATTCATATGTGTTACTTTGTTCAAAAGGCTTTTAAGAAGCTTTTAGGGCCATGCACAGTGGGCATCCTAGCTACTCAGGAGGCTGAGGCAAGAGGATCACAAGTTTGAGGCCAGCCTGGGAAACTTAGTGAAGCCTTGCCTAAAAATTAGCAAGGGATGCCAAGGTAGCTCAGTGACAGAGTGCTCGCTTAGCATCACGTGTGAGACCCTGGCTTTAATCCCTATTTTTACAAAAGGAAGCTTGGGGATGATGAGTGAATTCATTGTCTGATCATGTGGTGGTTTCGCAGGTGTATGCGTGTCTCGTGTCAGTGCCACATCTCAAACATGCGCCATGCACAGGGTGTCACCTGTGTCTCAGTAACACTGGGTCTTGT